GTAATGGTGGTGTAATGAGAATATAAGAGGACCCTGATCTACTCACCATTATCCCTTACAGTCTCTAGTACTGGCAGGGCGTCCGCCTAACATACTTGGGAGTTTCTCACAACAACCCCTACAAATTCCCCAAAGGCACCCGCATGCTCCCTCTACAGCCCGCACATTCTATTTCTACCATCTTGGAGCATCCCTTCCGCCAGAAACTTCAATGAACATAGTCATGCGAAAGCCGTTGCAGATCGGAAGCATTTGGGCGCGTGTTTCATGGGGGCATACACATACACGTATATACAGGCGCATGGGTAATGTTCAAAGACCTTTACGTAAAGCACAGGGGCTCTATTAAATTCTTTCCGTAACAGACCATGTGACGGCCTAACATTCATCTTAATGCCCGCTTACCGATCGTGCAAAGGCTGCCCAGCCCCACGGGCCTGACCAAAACAAACTGATCAATTTCTAGTAGTATTACTGTGATTGCTACTATTATTATTGCCGATATTATCTTTTTATTGCTATTACTACAATTCTTACTATCATTTCTATTATTACAATTTGTTTGGGTAACGTATATTGAACACTAGAATAAAACAGACAGTTCTCCCTAGCAAGGGCAAACCTTCAATGGCTATGCAGGCTTGTGCACAAGATAGCCATCAGTACCTTACCTGTCAGAATGGAGGCCCTAAAACCCTAAATCCTTAACCTTAAACCACAGGTCCTCACGTTCCCTTCGTTCGCTGCGGCTGGCCAGTGTTGCGCATGTCCTCCTCTGGGCTTAGGGTTTCTTAGTGCTGCATCAACAAGGTGAAAGGCTACTACTACTCCTGCTACCCCTGCTGCTGTTGTTGTTGTTGTTGGTGGTGGTGGTGCTGCTGCTGCTGCAAGAAGCAATAACTGTTCAAATAGCAGTAACAATAGCATGGTGATGGTAAAAGCTCTTTTCGGAAGGGAACCACACTGGCGGTTGACTTTCAACCTTATCATAGCCTGCAACATGGAGGCCTCTAAGGGCGTCCGTTATCAGCAACTCTACTGTGCAACCAGCCACTGGATGGCCCTGACAGGGTTTAGGGTTTAGTGTGTCAAAAAGCAAGGATTGCTGACTTTGCCAGGGCTACATGGGGAAGACGAAGGGATCATGATCATGGCGGCTCAGTTCCGGGGATTGCGTGCGGACTGGTTCAAGAAGTACGCACACTGGCACCCTAAACCCTGAACCTGGAAAAGGCCAGGAACTAGCGGGATGAATATGAGCCAAGAGGGCCCCTGGGGTGATTCGCGCGCATTGATACCTTTAGGGACCCCAGAGGTTACATCGGGATTGTAGGGCTCCCTCCAAGCGAATATATACATCTGTATCTATATATGTATGCATATACAAATGGAAGGGCATATGCAAAAGGGCTACAACATCTTAAAGAACCCCATGTGAAGGGCTTCTATTGAAAAACTTCCATAAGAACTATACTCTAAAATCCGAATATCCTCCCTAATTACCCTTATAGTACTCACCTACATAACCTCCTTAAAGGAGTTTGGACCCTAAACTGAACACCCTAAACCATAACCCTATAAACCTTAAACCCTTTAAGCCCCCTTTAAGGAACTTAAACTACAGCTCATTTCTCCAAAAGTCCTCGAAGCCTGGTTGGAGCAGCAGATGCGGGATATTCGCATAGCCGCATCTTGCAAAAAAACCTGCGGCTATTTGGAGAATCAGAGGGATTGGGGTTTGGGGTGGACTTAATAGGTAGGTTAATAATGGGGATAACTACAATCACTATGTGAGTTATAGAGGCTCTGAACCTACTTACTAAGCAGTTCAAGGGCCGCAGGAAGCTGTAGAAGGGCTTCGATTGTGGTTGAGGACATACAATGGAGCAGGAGATCTTTCGTTGGCTGTTCCCGACCCAAGCATTCTCTTAAAGCTTGGATGGCATGGTCAGGAAGCCCTTGAACGACAACCCAGAAATCCTCTTTCGTTTGCAAATGCTGCGCTACCACCTGAAAATCGATTCCAACCCCACCGCTGATGGGGTCCTTGCGATCCATAAGGCCTACCTTGCGGTGAGCAGATTGCGTCAAGAAGAACCAAGCCTCGAAACAACAATAATGGAGATAATCCTCCAAATCCCAAGGTGAGAGGTGGCTGGCAAGGACGGCGAGAAGGAAAACGGACCAAAGGATGGTGTACTTCCTCACGGATGAAGGGTGTCGGAGGGGGAAGGACTGCAAGTTCGAGCACGTCATGGACAAAGACAAAGCTCCAATGGAAATTCTCCGACAGCGGCAGCTGAGGCTGCAGCTCTGGCTGCAAGTTCTACCTCCTCTACGGCAAGAAGGAATGATGGCAAGGATGCTGCCTCGGCCAGCGCACCGAAAACTACTACCTCCTCGGCCCCCTCAACGGCAGCAACAACGGAGTTCCAGAATCCGAGCTCGCAGGTGGACTAGCTTTTGGTAGAGGCTCAGAGGATGATGAAGGCCTTCATAGATCACAAATCTCCTACGATAAAAGCCTTGCACCTCCCTGAACCAGCAGGATTGGCTTTAATTCAGAACCCCTTGGACGACGTCATGGGCAAGTATGGCCTTATAGATAGCGGGGCATCCCATCCATTGAGGGCAGCAAGGTCGACCAAGGAGTTGGAGGAGGCAAAGCAGACGAGCGTAGTGCTTGCGGGTGATCAGCGGATCAGCCTTCCTCAGACTGCCTCCGGGGTGATCCTGTCAGAGACCCAGCCGATTGTTCCCTTGGGCAGCCTGGTGAAGACGCTTGGGTATGAGTTCGTATGGAATCACAAAGGGTGTCGGCTATATCATCCTACAAAACCCTCCATACAGGTCTTTACAAGGAGTTCTTGTCCGGAAGTTCGGGAGTGTGATGCCTTGAGGTTAATCGCGGAGCTGGAGACCGAGAAAGGGCCATGACTTCCTGTCCACCCTTCAGATGGCCATTGAGACAGCCAAGAACCGTAAGCTCGATAGCTAGAGGGAGCACCTGCGCAAGTATGTCGGATCAGAACTGAAAGAGCATGGCGTTCGAGCCGTGTTCTCGTTTATGAAGGAGATTCCGGCAGAGCAGAAGGTGAAGATCCTTGAATCCTTTCCCCAAACAGACAAGGAAGCATGGTTACTGTTGAAGCGGTTGCCTCTGAACCGTGCAAAAAGGAGACAGCTGTGGCGAAGTCGAGTGGTCCATTTGTTCTCCGGAAAGGGAGTAACTGATGACCCTCTCAGAACGGTGAAGGGCGAGATACATCTTCGGCTGGGCCAAGAAACACTCCCTCCACCTACCTTTTGTCGAACGGGCCAAGGTGCTCCTCCTTGGATCGGACCCACACCTTGGATCCAAACCTTATCCCTGGAGCTTTCTGCCCCATGACCCTTTTATTGCGGAGGAGGCAGGCGTGCTTCATAGCGCATGGCCAGTATGACTTACCCAACCGCGCATCTTGCACAAGGGCTCTTGCTCGACACTTCAACCACTTAACATGATTCTCGGAAACCGCGTTCTGGGAGGACGCCACGCTCACGGCACCATTTTCTCAACGATTTCGTCCGGAACTCCTTTGCCCGGTCACTCTGAATCCTGGCCAAAGGATAGCCTGCAGCCCGCAATGAGATGTAGAGGTCCTGGGACCACCAAACGAAGGGTCTGGAACTCCATCAGCTTCTTGAGATCTCCAGCTACGCGAAACCATTCCTCCTTCTGAGCATCTGCGCCTGGATCTTCAGCCGAGTCACCGGAACCTGGCTCACCTTCGTCTTCACCTTGCTCAAAGAAGTCCAGGTCATCCTCCATGTCAGGAACTGGAGCATCTTCCGGAGTCCCAGTGGTCTTGAGAAACACATAGGTTGCTGCCAGGGTGAAACGATACTTACCGCCCTTCTTCTCATCCTCTCCGACATCTTGGAAAAGGCCCGCAATGTCCAAACTCATCACATAGGCATCCCTGTGGAGGACCTTCCGCGCCGGTCTTCCCGTTTCCGAAGCTGACAGACAAACTGCACAGTCTCTTCTGTAAGGCCAATGTCCGGCCTCCACATGCGCCTTCCACTCTGCCAGCTCCTTCTCGGACATGACCTGAACAGAAGAAACCAAGTGGTTTCCTGGCCAACATGCAGCTGGATCTATATCAACGAGACGCTAGACTACATCATCGGTTTCTTCGGCAAGCATGGCGCTGTGGGCCTTGGGTTTTCGGAAAAGAGATTGCGAGGGCCTTGGATGTTTGGGCAAAACGGCAAGCAGCTCTTCTACTGGTATCCCGTACGCTGCCTGGTCGAAGTCGTACTTCTGGAACTCCATGATCTCGGCCAACATCTTTACGAGCTGCGTTCGCCACACTGCCGGACATGCCGACCACAAAGCGCTATCCTCTTCCAGATAATCTCGAGGATCACTAGCGTGCTCCATTCCAAAGGCCACTGACGGAAGCCGAAGATGCCAATCTGTCTCCTTCCCACATCCGCAACGAACCAGAGCCACACCATCCTCAGGATGAGCTGATTATCTCCTTCAACTAGACCTTGTTCATATTAGCTCAGCCCTTCCATCTCTACAAACTTTCGGCAGATCTCACCGGCTAAGAGGCATTTGGTTGGCCCGGAAGTTCGCGATGACGAAGAAGGGTAAAGGTGCGGCAGGGCGGTTCTCCAACGACGGCTCTGATACGGCCTTCCGCTGCCGCCCAAAGCAAGCAAGCTGTAGACTTCCACATTCTTCAAGTCCATGCCCGCAATCAGGTCAATCTCCAAGACGTGAAGGCTTTGTCATCAAGCTCCAAGACGGCACGTGGTTCCGAACTTTGCATATGAGGGAGGCCGTAAACGTTTCGGACGAAAATGAGGGGGTGGACACTGGAGACTTTGAGGCAGTGGACCCGCCGCCTACAAGGAGGGTCACCGGAAAGACGCGTGTGACCGAGAGGAGGAGTTTGAACAAGAACCTTCTCAACCAACAACTCGGATAACAGGCAAGAAATCGTTGGATGGCCCAGTACTTCGACGAGCTGCAGGACAACCCTCTGGAGAGGAAGAAGCTAGTGGAGGAGATCCTGAACAGCGAGGTTTGGGAATCCAAAGAAGCGAAGGCCAAGAGGCCACAGCTGCAAGGGAGTCAGGGTGCGGGACAATGTTATGTCACCTTTGGAGCTTTCCAACATGGAGGAGTGGTGGGTGTGACGAACGCCGCCATGGAGTTCATAGAGGTGGCGGCAAAGGCCGCTAAACTGGTGCAGGACTTCCCTGGCAAGGTCTTCACCTCTGTTGTCCTGACCAAGAACGCGGTCATGCCGTTGCACAGGGATATCTTCAATTTGAAGGGGTCTTTCAATTTGGTTTGCCCCCTAAAGGTTGGGAAAGGAAGCGCAATATGGCAAGAAATGAAGTTCGGGGATGAGTTCTGCGGCAACTTTGAGTTTCGGGAGGTGGACGGGAAAGAGGTGCCCGGCCAAAAGATGAGTGTTGAGAAGCCTGTGAAGGTCATTCCGCAGGCGTTGGCACCAACCTGTTCCGGGAGAAGGGCCTGACAGAGTGTTGGCAGTGGGACATACTATTGGTAGTTGGGCTAAGTTGTCTCTGGAAGTTCGAGCGCAACTGGAAATGATTGGTTTTGTGGTTCCAAAGGAAGATGTGAAGGTTGCTGCTATGGTGGTGGAATGTGAGGACGGCGAGGTCTTCTCCGTGGGTGTGGCAAGCGGATCCAGTGGAGAGAGAGCTCCAAATCCCAACACAGCAGCTCCAAATCCCGACACAGCAGTGCCAAATCCCGACACAGCAGTTCCA